CAGTTAGGTGGCCTAACCACAGGAAATAAAAACAGAGCGTGTCTCATTACCCAGGGCACCTTAAGTAACTTTCAGATTATAAGCCTCCTCACCTAAGTCACACGATGAGGAGGGGTGGAGGAAAAGCCTGGGGGTCAGATAGGTACCACTTCAACTAGTGAAGTGTGACCGGTTTGATCTTCGGACATGTGCTATGGATCCCATTCTTAGATTGATATACACATGTTCCTAGACGCAGGGTTGATCACTGCGCGTGTGTGTGTAGAAGTATTTTTTACTTATTTGAACTATTAAGCATCTAACTTTCTTGCAAGATGCACACGATTTTCTGCTGACCTCCAATGTATTCACTCTCTTCCATTAGCCAGGTACTTAGACGTTTGATACTAGTGTATTATTCGTGAAAAAATACTTAATTTTAAGATTTTACTTCCATATAATTTACCAAATTATCGTATAATTGCTAAAATTACATGTAATTTTCATTGCTCTGTAAATAGTTTTATCTGAAACGTACTTTCTTGCGGGCACAAATTGGACTAATATGAAGAAAGTTCTTAATTTATGAAATAGTAAACTAGTACATAGAGATTCTGACCTATGGCCGAAGTGAAAGAAGTTACCAGTGCAAATAGACATTGCACTTTCTTCGCTCTTATCTGGAATTCTTTAACCGATTAACTCACTTTAAAAACCTGTATAGAAGTGCATGGGAATCAAATAACCAGGCACGGACTAAAGATAATTTAGATAACATTACATTAAGCTAAATCTCTTTTCTTGTGACATTTTAATGCTATTTAATTTTTTTATTGGGAATAAGCCACAATTTTATTTTTAGGTTTATTTTATCGTTTCGATTTACACTTCAGAAATCTTTCTCAAACTACAAAACATTATTAATTATACAAATTTTGTTTTTGTTGCTTGGTGTTCGTCTTTACGTGCCATCTCTGCGACAAAGGTTGGAAATCATCATGGCTACTCTGATCTTGTATGCTGCCGCTCTGAATAGTTCGATTGATGTGCATCCGTACCATTCCCTCAAGTTACGCAACCATAAGTTTCTTCTCCTTCCTACACTTATCTTGCCCTGGATTTTCCCTTCTATAATTAATTGAAGTATGTTGTATCTTTTATTACGCATAACAGGCCTCATGTATTGCAGCTATCGTGTCCTGATAGTTTCTAATATTTCCATTCTTTTGTTGACTCTTCTTATGACTTCGTTGTTTGTTACATGCTCGGTCCATGAAATCTCCATACATCCACAGTTCAAATGCTTCCAACTTTTTAGTAGTCGACGCGTTAAGTGTCCATGCATCTATTCCGTAAAGCGGAGTCGAGAAAATATAACACCTCGTCAGCCCAAGTCTAATTTCAGTTCTCTTGCACAAAGTACCTTTCTTATTTTATTGAAGTTTGTTCATGCTTTTTCTATTCGAACTTTGATTTCTTTACTCCATATTCTTACTCCATATTGTCTGGTAAACTAGACAACATAATACAAGAAATGGGACGATGCGACCTAGACATCATAGGAATTAGCGAAATCAGATAGCCTAACAGTGGTAAATGTACTAAAGAAAAAGCGACACTATATTACTCAGGAAATAACCTACCCTATCATTATAACGGAGTTGGATTTTTAGTTAACACAGCCTCAAACAAATCAGTAAGGAATTTCGTGGCATACTCAGATAGAGCAGCACTACTACAAGTCAAAGCCGATCCTGTTGACCTTAACATTATACAAATCTAGGCACCCACCTTGGACAAGCCTGAAAATTAAGTAAAACAATTGTACAGAGAGATTAAGGAGTTAATGAAACTGATCAAGAAGAACCAGACTCTTATAATCATGGGAGATTTCAATGCGAAGGTAGAGCGAGGACATGCTGAAGATGTCGTGGGTGACTTTGGTTTGGGAGATCGAACCGAGAAATATGATATGCTAATCCAGTTCTGCCAAGAAGAAAAATTAGTCATTGCGAATACCTGGTAAAAACTGCCACCATCGTAAGAAATCAAATTGATTTTTTATCGATTAATCAGAGATACAGAAATGGATTGCAAGGAGTAATCTTAATTCTTAGTTCTTAATAGTGCCACCCTCGTATTACAGATAGTATAGACAATGCAAATAAGGTAGCCACAGTACAAGTCTCTTTGTCTATCAGCAACGTGTTTTCTATTCGGTGGTATTAGTCTATGGTATCCATCAGATACCATAGACTAATACCACCGAGATATATATATATATATATATATATATATATATATATATATATATATATATATATATATATATATATATATATACTTACTCAAAGAAAATTTTTAACGAGGCTCTTTACGGAATAGACGAAGGCATCCTTCTAAATGGTGAAAGAGTAAACAATGTTAGATATGCCGACGACACCATAGTGATAGCAGATAGTTTAGAGGGACTTCAGAGGCTAATGGACAGAATAAACGAGTACAGTCAACAGTACGGACTAAACATTAATACCCACAAAACGAAACAAATGATTATCAGCAAGGAGAATATAAACGGGGCTCATCTATACATTAATGGGACGCAGATAGAGCGAGTAAAACAGTATTGTTACCTGGGAACTATTATTAACGAACAGTGGAGCAATTTACAGGAAATAAAGTGCCGCATAGGAAAGGCAAGAACGGTCTTTAACAAAATGAGCGCCATCTTCAAAAGTCACAACATATCCCTTGATACAAAAATGAGACATTTGAGATGCTATGTTTTCTCTGTGTTGTTGTACTAGGCGGAGGCATGGACGCTTACAGACACCACTATTAAAAAACTTGAAGCATTTGAGATGTGGCTTTATAGAAGAATCCTGAGAATATCATGGACAGCAAGGATCACGAACAAGGAAGTTCTAGGAAAAATGAAGAAGGAGCCAGAGATTGTGTTTACGATCAAACGCATAAAATTGCAATATCTGGGACACGTTATGAGAAATCAGCACCGTTACTCCCTGCTACAGTCTATATTGCAAGGTAAAGTCAAAGGTAAGCGAGGACCCGGTAGAAGGAGAATATCATGGCTGCGGAATTTAAGAACATGGTTTAAGAAAACCTTAACGGAGCTGTTTCGAGCCGCAGCGAGCAAGGTTATGATTGCCAATATGATTTCCAACATCCGAAACGGATAGGAACCAGAAGAAGAAGAAGAAGAATGCATCAGATGTAGAAGCTCGCTATTTGTTTTTCATGTCCTCGTTTTAAATAAACCTGCTTTTCCCGCTGACCCTACGCAATATATATTAAATTTTTTTGGATATTTGTAATTAAGTTTAGGTCAGTACACTCCAGTGGTTATTATTTTATGAATTGCATGAATTATTTCAAATGAAATTTTAACTTACCGTTTTTTTTTTTCGACCGTCATTTGTTCCTAATTTTACCATTACTAATAATTCCTAATAATGCCTGTGACAATATTAGGGACTAAATATTAAACTCTTTTGCAGCATACCAAGAAAACGAGCTGAGTGATCAGAAGAGGATCTACGCTTGGCTCTGCAAATCATAGCGAACGGAATGCTGGTATGATGTGGCTAAAGTAATTCTTGTGCAGCCATCCAGACGTAGCTAGGCGAAAAGCTCAACTAATGAATACGGTTCAAGCCCAAAAAATGAATATAATATTCGTTGATGACTTCTTTCATAAACTGAGAGATAGCATAGAAAAACTAAACCTATTTGACAAACTTGGTAGTATATATAATACGGACGAAAAAAGGATGCATATTGACAATCCATAAGCAACAAACTGTTTTTGTTAAAAGCATGTAGTGCATGAAAATGTAGTACATTTTCAAAATGATTAGGTTTATCTATCTCTATAAAAGATTCAATAAAAGCAAGATGTTCATCTTTATTCGGAGTTTTCAGACTTTTTTTGACTATGCTGTTCATGTAAATAAGTGTGATCTTCATTGTTGGGTAAAAAATCATTAACAACTTTGAAATTCCACGGAAAATACCGCATTTTTTAAATCAATTTTCTAGAATTTTCTGAGTTATGCGATCTTTTATTGCCGCATCTAATAGTGGAGCGAAATCCCGTCTTCTTAATAACTCTTGTTGATTTTTTAACCTCCAAGAACTTACTTGCTCCTTCCAGCCAGATTTTAACTTGCGAAACACGGCTACGTCCATAGGCTAGTAAATCGGTAGCATTTGGATACAAAGCAATAAGAATTATATTTTTTTCTGAGCAAAATTTACTGAGATGAAAGAATAAATGGGAAGCATATCGACAGAATAGGAAATGAAACATGTTGTATTCACCACGGATAAACACATTGGCCGTGCAAGAATAAAAAATATCTGATGTCATCCACCCGTTTTCGGACAAACCAATTTCCCAATGCTTCGGAATGCTTTCAGAAAGATCTGAAGGTAGTCTTTTGTACCGAAAAATGATCATTGTTTGTTTCAACGTTATTAGTTGGTGAATATGTCAAGAAATATCTTAGCTTATAGGAAACTATCCATGAAGTATATATTAGTTTCTCTATTATTTTAATATAAACAGGAAAGTGACATCAACGGGTACAGGGTCAGATATTGGTGCATTTACCTTATTTGTGTTTAATTTCTGATTTTCTTATATTCATCATACGATTATGGCGTTCTTGTTATACGATATAAGATATAAGTTTTTCTTCTTGTAGTTCTGTGTAAAACAATGAATTTTATGTACCTATATTTGCTGTTTTTCTTAACAGTTCTTGAAGTTTGAAGCAGTTTTACTTTCCAGCCTAGATCGATGTCAACTTCTTAAAATTAATTATTAAATTAAATCAATATTAAAACTAATATTGATGTCAAGGAAAATTAATACTTCCGCATTAAACGAAAATTTACCTACATGAAATCTCTCGAGTTTTCATTTTCCTCGTTTCCCACTTCTCAGTACTACATACAATAGAATCATAACAGAGATGGTGCTGTTACATCCCCACCAATTTCGTTCCACCAGCTTGTCGAGCGAGTGAGATACCCGCTCCGCTACCTCGTTCCAATTTTTGTTTTGCTTTATTCTATTCACACAAAACGAGCATTACGTTAACATTCTTCAGGGTATCTGTCTCCGGTCAATTGTTTACTAGATAGTATTTTGATTTGTACAGACACTTTTGTTTTCATCCTCGGTTATACATCGACGTTCTCAGGTAATTTCGAGATTTCAGTGTTTGGTGTAAAAGTCGACCTTGCTAAAATCGATACTGGCGGTGTTTGTATTTTATTATTCGAATTATTCCTTGCAGAATTACCATTGCTAAAACCTTCATCAGTCGAAAACAGACACAAAGTGAGTGAGGTTCTTCACTTTTAAGTGTAGTTTAGGTGTTGTTTATATTCAATAAGGTAGGTGGATTTGTTTGTATTTACATTTCAGTTTTCAAGTTCAGGTACAAGCATTTGTAAATCTTCTGAGATTTCGCTTTTAATATCTATTTGGAGGTTATTTTTGACTTCCTGTATAACTTTTCAATTATAGTAGTTATTAAAATATTTTGGTGTTTATCTTTTTTACACATTTTATCGCGGATGCTGAGTTATTACAGAACTATTATATCATAATCGTATGATGTAGCTAACGACAAACGCTGTATTAATATGAATATGAATATAATATTTCATATAAATAAACACTGAATTGAACTGAGCTACAATAAAAACATATAATTATATTGCGTAATTTGTCTTCTAAAAATATTGACTATCGAGATGCTGATGTTTGTAAATAACAGTTATAAGGGTTTAACATTTAGGTTAGGTTATTTAACTGCAGGTTTAGTCCAAAATTTATTAATTTTTAGCAGTAGGTACTTGTTATAAATATATTATGTTATTGGCGTGGAAAAATATTCACTTTCGTAACATAAGGAAGCAAATACTCAGTAAAATTCAGGAAAAAGATATGCATTTATAAAAGACGAAAAATACGATAAGGAGAATGAAATAAAAAAGGAAATAATCAGTTAGACAGTAGGATGAACGTCAAAAGTAAGATTCAAACTTACACTAGATTTGGAAATGTATGAGTAAATGACTGATGGAAAAGTCTGAAAAATAAAAGCCTGAAAGCGTTTTTTGCCCCATTGTGGTTCGTAGATTTTTTTATTTTAAGTTTCGAAAAGCTATCTACTGTCACAGGTAATGTTAAGAAAATTCGTCTGGCACTTAATTTGTAAATAGATAGATGAATATTGGCGAATAGGTAGTTGACATGATACAATGAAAGAATCTTTTTAATGAATGGGTAGTTGATGTGTTTCAGAGGACGTATAGGGTACTACATTGTCAATTTCATCATATAAATCTTGACCTACAATATATTTTTCATTTTTTGCTTAATCACATGAAATATTTTTAAGAGCTTTATATTTTGCAGACGTAATTGATGGGCTTAGAATAAAAGTGCAATTTTACTAGTTTTGAGATATTTAAGGTTAAAGTTTTTTAAATAATTAAAATTTCTTCTAAATTAGCTACGGTCTTACATAGTATTATTATATTACTAAAGGATCAGAAAATTATTATTCCTACACAAGTTTTCAAAAAAATAACCAATTCAGCTTTATTAAAAAAAAAAAAACACTTGGACCCTTCTTATTCTGAACGGTCAACCAATTATTATCTGCACTAAAATGTATAAGTAGGATCTTTGCAGGAAAAAAGTGAATTTTGGAAAATGTTTATTTATAACTTTATTTAGCAAATTTATAATGTGAAAAGCTAAAATAAAAAAAAATAAAAAAAAATATCCTTCTACAAAGCAAGTTTCACTCATAATCAGAGTCCAGCACTGCTGTATCTTTCATGACTTCGCCAAACTGAGTTTGCTGCGATGCCGCCTCCAACGTTTTAGTTTTATCTTGAAATCCTTCTTCAGATACTTCGTTGACGGTATTAGTTTTTATTTTTTTTCTTTTATTCATTGGGAAGGTTGTTGTAGACCGGTGGAATAAAATCAAGTTTTTGAATATTGTCCCATTTCAATTTATTAATTTTTATCGGCTAAGCGTCAAGATTTGTTTAAACATGTTCTCCATGCTAATAGTAGGACGTCCAGCTCCGTTTTGTACACATACACATGTAAAAAATAAAAACTCTTCATTTAATATTTTATTAACCCTTAAATGCCCGTGATATGAAAATAACCATAAATGCCCATGTGGGGTCTCCTAGGGACCCCACTAAAATTTTCAATTTAGTAACGTCATTTAGCACTGACTAAAAGGAAAACACGGTTAAAAATAATTTTAAGCATATTTGAATAAGTATTTTTATTTATTTTTCATACAAAATTAACGGCTTTTCTAGAAACAAATTCTTTTCAATTCGAACAAAATTAAAATTTAATAATAATATAAGCATATAACTTTTAGTTGCAATTTTTACATACAATAGTTTTTTCTTCTTTTCTGTGCACCTGGCATATAAATTTTTTGCAAAAAGAGCAAACGGTATTCACTTTTCTGTCACAGTTTCGCGGACACTGGTAACAACGAGCACGTTTCTTAGCTGAATGGACGGATTGAGTTGCAACTTCGGTAGTTGGGTTTACCATTGGTATGCCACAATCTTTTAGAGCAGATTTTACATAGGCTTTATGTTTTATATATTTCGCTCTTTTTTCCATGTTGTTTCGAGCAAGCTCAGCCCCTAATTGTAACAGGAAAATACGTCTTCGTGAAAAATTATTTTTCTTCCAATCAGGATTTTTTTCAATGTATAAAATATAGGCATTTAGTGCACATATGTCTATAATATTCATAAAGAGCTTGAATGGCCAACGAGCAATTCTTCTTTTACAGGAATATTCCCTAATCGGTTTGTCGGCATTATCAACACCACCCTTGGTATTATTATAGTCTAAAATCATCAAGGGTTTGTTTTGAGAGTCTTGACAAATTATATCACTATCGTGTTGACTTGAAAGAAGATGTACCATCCTGTGTATTTTAGGTATGTACGAAACCATAGCTAATTCTTTAGTAAAAGCAAATATTGACGACTCCGCAGGTCTTTTTGTCAAACTTAGTTGTGGTGGTGTATCAGGTTTATTTTTGCGGACGGTCCCAAGTAAAGTAAGGTTTTTAGATAAAAGATATTGAGCAAGAGGAACACTGGTAAAAAAGTTGTCAGTTGTAATTCCTCTCCAACTGCCATGATATGGTTCCACCAGATCTTTCACAACACGAAATCCCTGATTTTTCTCTATTCTACCACCTGGTAGTTTTCCAAGGTACACCTGAAGTTTTGATAAATAAGATGTTTTAACATCCGCGGCAGCCCAAATTTTTATCCCATAGCGGCAAGGTTTTGATTTTATATATTGTCTAAAAGGACACTTTCCTCTAAAACTCACTAACTGTTCGTCAACGGTTATATGTTCGTATGGTTCAAAGGCTTTGTCACAGTTAGAGACGAACATGTCCCAAATTACTCGTATCGCCGCTAACTTATCCTGTTCCTTCCGCTCCACCCTGGTCACTTTGTCATCAAACCTCAAGAAACTCGATAATTCTTCAAATCGGTTCCTAGCTAATGCGGCTGTAAAAAATGACCGGCGTATTGAGGTGTCTGTAGACCATATCTCTCGTGTCGATTCTTTCCCACACCTTAAAGCACCAGCTTTGATAAGTGCTCCTAAAAAGCTATTCAGTTCATTGTTGGTAAGTACCGTCCACTCTTTTTTGTTATTCGGATGTTTTTCGTTCCACTCTTGATCACGCCTAACAGCTTCTTCATTAGTATGAAGGCATATGACATTCTTCATCTCTTCGGTCAAAAATAAATTGAAATAGTCTAAAAACGTGTTGGAATTTTTACTATAGTTTGTTAAGCCTGGATGTACATTTATAATATTTTTTTGTTGCCTCTTGGATCTCACGAAAGGTAGGCTATTCCACTGCATTCCAGATTTGGATGTATATGTTGGACCACTAACCTCACTAATATTATCGTCCACTTCGGTAGGTTCTGCATCTGATTCCTCGTCACTGTTGACTTCTAAATTGTCCTCAGTTTCCGAAACATTTTCCTCAAAAACATCTTGCTCTTCGCTATCTGATTCGTCGGTAATCTCATAGTCGAAATCGGAGTCTGATATCCCTTCTTCTATATTTCGGATAATTTTTTCATGTTCTTGGTCGCTTATTGTCATTTTCATTCTCTTACGGTCCATTTTTCAATGTAAACTGACGAAAAATGTTAAAAATAATAAAAATATTCTGGTGCCTCTAAATGCCCAATCGGGTCACAGCGAGACCCCACTTATCTAAATCTCTCTTACAGACCACTGCACCTCACGTATGTTCGTGGTATACTAACAGAAAACGTAGAACGTAGGAGACACGTCCACACAAATACCTGATTGCGCGGTTGCCAATGTTTCAAATAAAGATATTATAGCCAAAAATGTATGTCTGGGGTCCCATAGTGACCCCGATTGGGCATTTAAGGGTTAAAAGAAAACGAAAATGTTTCGGAAGATTTTTCATACAAAATGTACAGCACTGGTATCCATTTAAAAAGAACAGTTAAGAATACCTCTACTGTCTTTTTTGGGATCACTTATAACTTTGTTTTTTGTTTCAAAGTGTACATTAAACTTTTTGCAAACTGATTGAATTAGCCAGGCCCAGTGCTCTGGAATAAATACCTGTGGATTCTTATGTTTCACTTTTGCTATTATGTAGAGAATCTCTTGAATATAAGTAGATTTAACCAAGAACGTAAACAGCTTTACAATGTTTTTATTTTTGTTGAATCGTGGCCCTTGAACGAAGATATGTGCAGAAAACTGAAAGCATTTGAGATGTGGCTATATCGGAGAATACTTAAGATCCCGTGGACTGACCCGGTCACAGATGAGCAGGTCCTCAGAAGAATGAATAAGAACCGAGAGGTACTGAGCACCAATAAATCTCAAAAATTACAGTTCTTAGGACATATTATGCGAAATGAATCCAAATATGCTCTCTTTCAAGCCACCCTGCAAGGAAAAATATTTGGAAAACGGAGTCCAGGAAGAAGAACATCTTGGTTGAAGAACCTCAGAATCTGGTTCAATACAACATCTGTGCAGATTCTCCGCGCTGCTGCAGATAAGATAAATATTGCCATGATGATCACCAACATTCGTAACGGATAGGCACATCAAGAAGAAGAAGAAGATATCGAGAATCTACAGAGCAGCATCTGTCAGTACAGCAAGGTGATCCTTTTGGTCCATTTTCAGTCCATTGTAACTACATTTTTTTGTTTTATAAATTATATATAGCGGTAACAGCAACCTGAAGCTGAAGCACCAATCATTATAGTCATTGCTCCTTTAGTCAAATTAAAAATCCGTT